GGCAACAGTTTTGGCAATCAATAATATTTCAAGCAAAAAAAACTCATATTTGATGGTCCCAGCTTCTCAGATGTTGAATAACTTGGACTGTTTGGACTAAACTAGACATTTGATGACAGCAGCTTTGGCTCTGGAAACTAGTTTTATGTATATACACTTTTATATGTTTTATAGACAAAACTAGATGTCACAGAACCCAATTCAAGAATAATTGGCAGTCGTTGGAGTTGCTGAATTGACGTTGAATTGGCTTGATTTTTCACATCCATGCATTTTAAATGAATGTGGCACAGAAAATGTTACATCCTTCAAGTCCTATTAAAATAACTATGGGGGCTCTTAAACAATTTGCACCTTTATTCACTGTCTATAGAGTCAGGATGACATTACCGCTACAGCAGTGTCTGTAGAACGGAGCTATACGATTCAGTAGCAATAACACATTTCTCAACCCCAGTCAATCCTTCTGTGTTGTTTCCAGGGAACTCTTTGATGGCCCCAGTAGGGCGATGGCAAAAAGGCAAAGATCTGACATGGTACGCCAAAGATAAAAAAGGCAGCAGGCCTTTGACCAAAGAAGAAGAAATTGCTGCCGTCAAGGCCGCAGAGCACGAGGCACTGATGGCTGCCCTGTACGTATAACATCCTATCAAATAACTGGTTAACAAAGGCAAGTGTGGGCTGATACATATAATCAATTCCTCTCCTCCATTCTTCATCTAGGGGGCACAAGAATATGAAGAGGCAACCAACTGGCCTGACCAAAGAGGTATGTCACTTTGTCAGCTTTAAATCAAAAGCTTGTAAACATGTTTAAATAACTTGTCTTCATTTAAAAGGTTGAATGATTTGAATTTTCACACCAGGACCTTGCAGATGTTTGCAGAAGGGAAGAGGTTGATGGTGAAGAGAGAGATGTGGACCGTGTCTCTGGCTTGGGAAGCTCCAGGTGATTTATTTATTTTTTCTTACATACAGAAAACCACATGGACAGTCCCAATCACAGATCACAGCATGCTGACATTAGCAAGTGTTCAAAAAGTATTCATCTACACAAAGTCAGAAGGACTTTTTTCAGTTATGGGTAGTAAAAAAAGCAGTATCTGTCTCTGCCTTCCACTATATTCTTTTTGTTTTGCTCCGTTAAAACTCATTAAAATGTTCCTATCAACATTTAGGTGGTGTAAAGTGAGCCCTTTATTTTAATGCACAGTGATTTGTTTATAAATGAGCATTCCCATCTACAGTGCAGGGTCAAGGAAAATGGTGCTCTCCCAAAAGGAAAAGGAGGCAGCTAAAATAGGACTGCCGGTTTTTACAGTAAGTGTTTTTTTCTTTCTCTGACAAATGCCACTGCACGTTGTAAGACGCAAATGTTTATAATGTTAGAGCAAAGCAGTTTGATGGAAAACAAACCTTTTGAATATCTTTTGCTGATAGTGAGGATACATAAAGAGTTGAGAGTGAGTGAGTTTATTTGATTGGATCTAAACCAACAATGCAAAGGTTAAAGAAATGCTTTCTTCACAGCACCACAAAACCACTTGTCCAGAAACATCAACAACAAAGACACCTCAGAGTATAGAAAAAGCGGACGTGGAACCAGAGTGAGTATGCATTGTATTAGTTAACACCTAAGATAACTTACTGAACACCTATATAGACCATATAGACCCAAAAAACATAACACATTTAGTTCTACTGGACCAAATGTGACCCTGTATCCAGCTTCTCATATTCATTTCAATAATAAACATCTTTTTATCTACTTCTTTGTCTTTAACACTATAGGCACGAGAGCAAAAAGAAAAAGAAAGAAAAAAAGAGCAAAAAGGAGAAAAAGAAGAAGGAAAAAAAGAAGAAAAGAAGAAGAGACTCGTCCTCCTCAGATTCAGATGACAGAAAGAGGTTGGTTGCCTTTTCCACATAGATCTTTCAGTAATTTCCTCAAGGGGCACACATGAACAGGAACACTACAAATGTAGCTTAAGACATTTTTTTATTTATAAGTACAAGTCTATTTCCAAACCAGATTGATTTTTACAGACTTCTCGCAAGTTGCATCAGTAATATTTTATTGTATTTTAAGTAAGTATATTAAATATTTGTGTCCAATTCTTGCCAATTTTGCAAACTTATAGACTTGCTATGAAACAAAAGCTTTTCTCTGTCAGCACTAGAGGGCACTAAGGCATTGTCCTACACACAGCGTCTTGAAGCATTATCTCTTAAATTTAGGTGCATGTGTCACAAGACCTCAGATATATCCTGTAAATCAGGTGTGTAGGACGGGATGGACAAACATGATTGAATAATTTATGCTCTTCAATCATTTGTGTGGATGAGAGAGAAATAATATAAACCAACATATGATGGTAGTGTGCAGAATTCATGATACAAATTTTAAATATACCAAAGTATGTCCACAAATATTGCCGGTTATGTTGCCATTGGGTTTGTGACTATAAAGCTCATCTGGCAGTTTCTTGTTCTTCCACTCAACACCTTTACCCGATCCATCACAACCCAATCATACATTGTTTCCTTTTACTCTAAAGGCAGAGAAAGGACCACCATCATCATAATCCATCATACCACAGTCAGAGTGGAGCCAGACCCCATGACAGCCATTCAAGGGGGGGGGCAAAGGGCGAGCGACAGCCCCCCTACCCCCATCACCGACGGCAGCGACATGACACAGACTCCTCTGATGGGGGGTCTCCTGTCCCCCGTAACCCTGTCAGCCACAAGACGGCCCCTGCTGGTGCCACACAAAGCCACAGGCGGCGCCACGACACAGACTCGGACTAATGCCCCCCCACCCAATTCAAAGATGCATAACATGGACAGAACGCTCTACAGCAGCCTGACTGCCCGTGAAGACCTCATTTACCCCAAACAGCCAACGGACTGTAGATGGAGAAGGGTCGATGTGTCTGACTAACAGGCTTTGGCCTCGTGTCTTAATATCTTTAGCCAAGAAGTTGGGATACGGGTGTCTTTTGGTGTTTTTTGCGTTGTGTTTTTATCATACTATGTGATTAAACCACCAAGTATCACATTTTCTGTATTGTCTGTACTGCATTAGTTAAAATACTATGCATTTTGCAAAGTAAACACAATGAACTGGCCCCGGTGGCTAGTACTGTTCAAGAAATCTCAGAAAATTAATCCAGAATAAAAAAACATTTATCCCATCATTTCTTCTGTGCTATTTTCCTGGAAAGTTTACGGAAGCTGAATTAAAAGATCTCCAAAACTGATACATATTGCATTGTCATTCTTTATGTAAACATTTCTGTTTTAAAGTAGTAATATTTGTCCCAATATACATCAGCATTACACAGAATATGAATATTAATTTGAAGGACATTGCAGCCATCTCTTGGATAAATCAAGCCTACATTTGAAGAGTCAAGTAAGTGAGTCTTAAGTTTTTCTTGACATTTTTCCAAGATGCTCCTTGATGCCACTTTCGTCCTTGCACATCTCAATCCCACTGTGCCTCTTGCACTACCCGGCAGCTCCGGCCCTTTTCTTTTTCCCGAGCATGCCAGCGTTCCTTAATCCCTCACCGTTCTAGGTTCAGCTCCCTGACTGGTGTGATACCATTGGAATGCTCTTCACTGGTCATAATAGAGTGTAGTGTTTGCACTTGCCTTGAATCAGTCTGAAAGAGGGTATTCTGCTGGCTGGCACCTGGGGGGTGCACTAAAAAAAGAGCAAGGCATTCATAAAGAAGAGTGCAAAAAACCAGGCTGGTCCTTTTATATGACAGAGTACCGTTAGACCGCCACACACAAACCAAGCTGATGGAGCAGCAGGAGAGGAGGCCACACAAAGCAGCCCTATGAGGGACCCAAGACTCCAACTCCCTCCCCTCCCACCACCACCATACACTCCTGCCATGTTTTATAGGCTTGGCTGCATTAACCATAGCAGCCTAATCAACCTGCAAGAATGCTGTCCTAGATTGCCACCCCTACACAATGTGAGACAGGGTGTGCTCTCCACATTACTGCTTTTACCCAAACATTCTGTGGTTTACATCACCTTGGGCAATCACATTTCTCCATGGGTCAAAGGGTGACGGCCCCAACAGGTTGCTAAGACACAAGTTTTTGGGTTTGTTGTTAAATTATTATATATATATTAGTGAACCTATATTTTGATACAGTTTCTGTCTCAGCACTCACTGTGGTTGAATGTGTGTATGATTAGGTGTGCACGTTTTAGAATATACTACTAATTAGGTACAAAAGCTACATTCCACACCTTAATATTCAGCATTTTTATTGCATAGAGTGAAATAATGAAAATAAGTTGCACAAACATTGTTTTTTTTAATCCAGTCACTTTAATTACAGTGCCTTTTTCTCACAAAAGCTTTACATAAAAAACAGACAAACCTAAGAGATTAACATAGTTTTCAAATATATAGGCAGTCATAAATCAAAAAGAAAAATGCACATCCGATACATCTTGAGAGAAGTTATACCCACACCTTTTAGAAAAGCTTGAAAATAAGAGGCAACGCGTGTCTTTGATAAGAAGGCATATTTCTGGGTTCCTTTTTACCCCAGGGACAGTCAGCTGCAAAGGAAGAAATACTGGCATTATGTTAAACATGTATCCAAAACTGATTTTGTATTGCCATCAAAACACCATTTCCCAGATTCTGAACTGAATATAAAAAAGGCATGACTTGCTAAAGCCTTTAATCAAGACCATAGGGTCACTGTAGTGTATAACTAATTTAGTTACAATTACCTAACACAGTACACACAAGTTACAGTTTAGGGCTGTTGAAATGAGTACTCAGTGGGGTAATAGTTCCTGTGCAGCCTAATGATGTAAACACCCAGTAAATATGCATGTCCTTAATGACTAACAGACCACATCATGCAGTTTCGCTGCGAAGGCAGCAGATGATAAACCTGAGACTCAGAAATACAAAAATCTAATGCCGACTCACAGACTGCCTTTCAAATAACCATAAAGCAGGCAGATGTGACGTCACTGCAGCAGTTCTTAATTCAAGCCAACGCACGTTATATCAAAGGCTGGTAAGTGTTCACAGATGGGAGTTCTCAACTTGAGGGAGATGTCAGTACAGAGTACAAATTTGCCAAAGCCAGTGTTTATTAAATGGTAAGTTGGGAGGCTGGTGCATGTAATCGCTGCTACTGGTTAAAGTAACCAGAATAGCTGCAAGTAGTGCATCTGTGTTTAATTCAGTTTCTAGAAAATTAAAAGCCCCTCGTGGATCATTCTCTACAGTATGTCAAGTCATTAGATTGCATTGAGGTCCTGGGGCCAACATGTGCTGGTAAATTATTGTTCCTCTCGTCCCTTTTCTTATTCAACGCACACATGACTGTCCAACAACCAGAAAGAGAAATAACCATTTGTAAAGAGTGCAATAAGCTGCCCCATTACCAAATATATTTACAGTTACATAAAATAACATAAAATAAAAAAAACCTGACAGCTTTACAAGAATAGATTACCCCCACCACTGGCCTGTATGTTTGTGATAACAACATCTCAGGTGAGGGCAGCTTCCAGAACTTTGTTTGGACAAGGTAGCTCAGTTTTGCAACACCTTAAGAGTAGAGAGCAAGGTCAGAGATTGGGTGGAGTAGATTAGTTGTGCATAGCAGATGATTATTAATGGTTCTTGAGCTGATTAGACAACCAATCCAGTCCTTCATAGAGGCCGTCCCCGGTGGTGGCACAGGTTGCCTGGATGTACCAGTGTCTATTGCGTAGGCTATGAAGCCCCAGCTTGTCCGTGAGTTCTGCTGCGTTCATAGCATTTGGTAGGTCCTACAAACATTAAACAGGGAGGAAACATTAGAAGCCAATCCTGTGAATACAACGGGAAAAAACCTGCAGGAAACTGTAAATGATATACACCTGCTTATATCAAAGTTTGTGTTTGTTTAAGTGGGACTTACCTGTTTGTTGGCAAATACTAATAGGACAGCATCATGCAGCTCCTCCTCTGCCAACATCCTCATGAGCTCTTCACGAGCCTCTGTACACCGCTCTCTGTCGTTGCTGTCCACAACAAAGATGAGACCTGAAAGAAGAAAAAATAAATAAATGGGGGACATGTAATGGGTCTGTTTGCATGCTACGTGTAAAGTACCTTTTAAATACAAAGCAGTGACAATTGAGTGAATGTGTACTTATTAACGAATGTCATGCACAAAGACTTTAACATAACCGAACGTACCCTGTGTGTTCTGGAAGTAATGACGCCACAGCGGTCGAATTTTGTCTTGACCACCGACATCCCACACCGTGAAACTGATGTTCTTGTACTCTACCGTCTCTACGTTGAAACCTAAAGGGAAAGAAAAACAAATAATCAGATTAAAAATACACTTAAAAGTTCTAATTTCAAGACAATATAAAAAACTTTTTGGGGGCCCCCCACTTCATTGAAAAGTACTATTGCTGACACGTTAACAGTCAGGTTAAACAGCATTATTTTACTTTTTATTGTTTGACCTACCTATTGTGGGAATAGTAGTCACAATCTCTCCAAGTTTGAGCTTGTACAAAATAGTGGTCTTTCCTGCAGCATCTAGACCCACCATCAGGATCCTCATCTCCTTCTTCCCGAACATTTTAAAGAGCCCTGCGAACATATTCCCCATGGCAGCTGGTGATGGGAACCTACTTTGGCAAACAAACAAAAAAACCTGAGGAGAAGCAACAAATAAATTGTTAAAATTAGGGTGACACAGAAGAAGGGTGTGGCAATTGGACTGGTCTAACGTGGTTTGGAGTAAAGCTAAAACGATGAGTCAAAACTTCACTTCTCTTATATTTGCTAGAAGATAATATAAAAAGCACATTTTAAAACAGCAGCTTGTGCCATTCATGTATATTAACACTATGTTCCAGTTACAGAGCTAAGCATCTGTTTTTTCTGAGATATAAATGCCTCTTTTCTGAGGGAATTTACAGAAAAAGACTCTTCTAGCGTTAACTATCTGGATTCAAATATATTAGGTCTGTGGTACGAACAAAGGAAATTGCAGCTGGAAATGAAATATCTCCTTCCTCAATTTAGTATACTCGTGTCTTTCAAATATGGTGAGGACTCACGGCGGATCACTACAGTACTTTGACATTTAGCTGCTAAAAGTTCCCCGACTAACACACGTAAACAAACAACGACTATTAGCTGACAATGCTAATAGTCGTCCGAGCAGTTTAAGATGTTTTTTTTAATAAAAAAAAAAACGACTTTTCCAGTATGCTTATACGTGTACTTCGTTTTGTTTCATGCCAACATAATACAAGTTTGAAGACACGAGTAGACGAACAGGGAAATACCAAAGTACAGTGAGTGCGAGTGGGCTAATCGCTAAAGTTAAGTTAGCTCTCAGCGGTAAATCACTGTCTTCCTCTCAGCCTCCCGACCGCCGCAACCGCCGTCACACACACACACACTGTCGCTTATAAACGCGTGGATTTGTACCCGACTAAATCAAGCTCTAAACAGCATTAAAGTGGCTTTGTGAAAGTGTCTCACTTACACAGTGGATATGTTTCCTTCCTTCTTCAAGGCGTTTCCTTCCTCAGGAAAATGGCGACGACTCGACACGTCAGAGGTTCCGTTCCATCACAACTTCCGTGATCGTCAGACTGGGAGCTGTCGCCCCCTGTGGCGGAGGACAGAATTACAGGCACCGTCTCTATTGTTTAATATGGGCCAATTGGTTCACTTTAACTCACTTTAACTCACAGGTCGTTTGAGGTGCTCTTTAATGTATTAATGCCAACTTTGATCAAGGGAGTGTGCCAGACAGCCAGATAGCATATTTTTGTTTAATATCTTTATAGTGCGTTATTTTTATCTGTCTTTTA